AAAACAAAACAAACCACCTATCTCAATGGGTTTTTATGGACTTTTTAAACACTCTTTCTGCCTCCCCTTACCCCTGAGCCTTGAGGAGGTTTGATGAAAACATCTTAGGACTGTGCATCCATCTTTTGTCATTATATGCCTTTTTGTAACTAGTCTTTTGCTTGTTTTAACTGGGGGGGGGGGGGATTTGGTTTTTTTTTAAAGAGAGGGAGGCCAAAAGAATGAAGTTGGGTGGAGAGGATCTGGGAAGGCAGGGAAATGACCAAAATAATGATTTCAATTAAAAAAAAAAAAAAGTATAGGCAAACGCAATCCTACCTCTGGACACATGGCCTCACCTCCTAGTAAAGGCTGTGTACTTGCCCCTCTTTAATGAGCAGCCTTTTAAAAAAAAAAAAAAAACCCTTTATTAACACTATATACATTCCCATAATAATAAAAACTGAAACTAGAAGCATTTCATCTTGTGGCTGAGATTTTCTATTCAAGCATTTGTTTGTTTGGACAGGGTTACTCTGTGTAACATCCCTCGCTGTCCTGGAACTCACTTGGTAGACCAGGCTGCTCTCAAACTCACAGAGATCCACATGCCTCTACCTCACTAGTACTGGGATTAAAGGCATGCGAAAACAACATCCAGATTAAGCCAATCTATATATGCCTACAAACCCAGAAGAGGGTGTTGGATCCCCTAGAGCTGGAGTTACAAGCAGCTGTGAGATAAACCAACATGAGAGTTGGGAATCAAGCTCAAGTCTACTGCCCAATACCATTTAAATCAATAGATTCCTAGCTTCATCACCACAACCCCATTAACCTATTCCATGACTACATATGACTTATATATAGAACAACAAAGTCTTTCTATGGGTAGGATGTGAGCAACAGCCTACTATGAGAAGTAGGCCCCCACACAGGCTTTCTGAACGTAGATCCTAGGCTGGTACTGTTGCTTTCTGAAAGGTTGTGGAAGGAAGGGGTTGGGGGCTTCACTGGAGAAGGGCAATGAGTTTCACCCCTGGCTACAATTCCTGTACTTCCTCACTGTGGATACAATGTGACCAATTGCATCATGCTCTTGCTACCATGCCTCCCCATCATAATAGACTAACCAGCTACAGTTGCTGCTGTCAGATAAACAAAACAAGCATATCTAAGGGATCCACAGAGAACATATCAACATGCAATGAGAAGTCACTATGTTCTCAACAAACTCCAATGTCTTATCCTCCCTGTGTGATTTGTTTTGTGGGGTTTTCTTGTTGAGGGGTGAAGGGTTGTGAATTACACCCTATAACAGAGTATTCCTGTTAAGTGAGAAAAGAGCACCCTCACAAAAAAAGAGTTCTTTCCATTGTGGAAGGAAATTCTGCTTTCTGGCTCTTCCTATAAAACTGCCAAATTTTGCTTACCATAGTAACTACCTTTAAGATTCTTATGAAGAAACTAAAAATTTGTTGCTGAGACAGGCTTCTCTTCATGTAGATTCAATTGGCCTCAGTACTCACAAAAATCCAAGTGCTTCTGCCTCCCAGTGTACCAACATGCCTTGGTAAAGTTTTTTTTAATTGTTTAAAGACCAAAGCAAACAAAAAATAAATCCTCAAAGCCCCGATGAAATCTGATCTGCAGGGTAACAAAGAACCAGACAAAGGCATATTCAGAGTAAAAACTAATGGCATTGTAACAATCTTTTTAAAAACAAGCTGGTTGGGTCACTGAGAAAGCTCTCTACGTAAGAATACTAGCTGCACAGGCCTGGACCAGAGTTTGATCCCCAGAGCCCACCACGGGTAGAAGGCATAGAAGGCATAAACAATCCCATCAGTCCTATAATCAAGATAGTCAGCAGAGGCAGAAGCTGCCCAGAATATATATCCTGAAGTATGCAGCGCAGCTACTCAAACAGGAAAGACCCTGCTTCGACAAGCCAGAAGATGACAACTTAATGATTCCCAAAGGTTGTCCTCTGACTTCCACGTCACAGCCCCCAACATAGTAGATAATAGAAACACAGAGTCAGACAGAATAGACTGGACAGACTTACCATGATGGCACCTATCTGTAATCCCAGCATTTGTCAAGCAGAGGGAGGATCATCACAAGTCTGGGGTCAGGGTAAAAGTCAAAGCTAGAATTTACCCAGATGGTTAGCAACACCTACAGGGACTATCTTTAGCTTTTGTTCACTTATGCGAATAATAATATTACTGAGTCCTGGAAAACCTACTAACTTCTTTTCAAAGCACCTAATATTTCCCTGTTAGGAAAAACTATACTGAATTTCTGACAGCGAACAAAGAATACTCCTATGCCACTGCCTGCTACTCCTGGATAACATAACATTCCTATTCACCAATGTTAAACAACCTCAATCAGTAGCTGCTACTCCTCTACGCTTGCTCTGGAATCAAAGCTATTCTTCCTCCATGCCTGAACACTCACGAATTTAACCAGGCAAAATACTGTTAACACTGGAATAATAAAGCACCTTGCCAAATGTTCAGAGGGCTTACAGTATACTGTATTGCAAGCAAGGAATGGAAAATGATTTCTACAGCTTAAATAGTTCTCCAAAATAAACCATTCAAATAAATGTTGGGTCAGTCAGATGAGCACTGAGGAAATCAGGAGGATACTATATAGAACAAAACAGGCAGAGTCATGGCTGAAGAGATGGCTCAGGGTAAAGAGTGCTAGAGTGCTATTGCTCTTCTAGAGGACCAATATTCAATTCCCAGAAACCATATGGCAACAAATCATCTCTAACTCCAGTTGCAGGGGAAGTGATACCCTCTCTGGCCTTCTCAGGCACTAATCACACACATGGTACAGACATAATAATACATGCAGGCAAAACAGTCACACACAAAATAAATAAATAAATAAATAAATAAATAAATAAATAAATAAATAAATGAAATTAAGAAAAAAAACTGGTATAGTTATTTTGGCATTTAAAACCCACCAGGTAAGACTTGTTTCTTCCTTCAAGTTACCCCAAAGGGGTTTAGAACACAGCTTCAGACAGTAAAACAAGTTAGGTGCACACAGAGGTGGTTTTAAAAAACCCTGCCATGACCCTATGAAAGCAAGTCAACAAACAGATCCAATCTATAGGTACTGGTGGTTCCAACAAGAAACCATGGCAGACTCTGTTATAATTAAGGCAAAGAAAAGAAAACTGGGGCAGATCTTGGCGCCGGTGGAGGCCTGCTGGGAACAGGACTTCTAAAAGGCAAATTTGTCTGGAAGGCTGTGGTGCAAGGCCATTTTTGCTGGCTATAATCGAGGTCTCCCGAACCAGAGAGAGCAGACAGCCCTTCTTAAAATTGAAGGTGTTTCTGCCCGAGATGAAACGGAATTCTACTTGGGCAAGAGATGTGCTTACTTGTATAAAGCAAAAAACAACACAGTGACACCCGGGGGCAAACCAAACAAAACCAGAGATCTGGGGAAAAGTAACCAGGGCCCATAGAAACAGTGGCATGGTTCGTGTCAAATTCTGAAGCAACCTTCCTGCAAAGGCCATTGGACACAGAACCCGTGTGATGCTGTACCCTTCCAGGATTTAAACTAATGACAAGTAAATAAATAAAAGTGGGGGGGAGGGGGGCTGGGGCAGCACAGTAGCAAACAAGACAAGGTGGAAGGTAAGGACCAACATCCCAGATTGTCCTCTCACTTTTGTGTTTACACACTAACACACACACACACACACACACACACACACACACACACAAGAAAAATCATGGCGGGAGAGGGAGTCAGGGGAGAAGAGGACAAGAAAATTGGAAGCCATCTGTGAACTATCACTTGGCACCTGGTACACTGTATGTGCTGATAGACCTGTGTCTACAGCCAAACCTTTAAGATAAGAATAGGGTCTCTTTCCATGGCTCTTTCTTTGACCCTGGCCTCATACAAAGTGGAACATAAAAAAGAATTCCATATAAGAAATTAACAGATGCATAATACCCAGGCAGTGGTGGTGCACACTTTTAATTCCAGCACTCAGGAGGCAGGGGTGGGCAAATCTTTGAGTTTGAGGCCAGCCTGGTCTACAAAGCAAGTTCTAGGACAGCCTCCAAAGCAACCGAGAAACCCTATCTCAGAATATACATATATATGAATAAACCACAGCTAGAAACAGACAATGAAATGTTGGTAGTTTTAGCACTATTTCTTCAAAAAGCCTACTGAATGAGACAGAGAAAAGAATAAACAAGGGACCAGTTCCGTCTGTTTTTTGTTTTATTTTGTTTTTTTATATCTGTTTGAAAAACACAGGAAGAGGTTCATTTTGAGATCAGGGATTCTAATCATTGTTACACCCATACCTTGTAGCAACCAGCCTGGCCTGGCCAACAAGGAAACCAGAGGGGTGCTCACATGATTGGTGGCACAGCACAAGAAGTAACAGATTTTTAGGCTATTTCTATACATAGGACACAAGGCTCCACATTTCAGCAAGATCATTA